TATATGTGTGTGTGTGTTCTTTTCTTGCTGATGCATCTTATCTCTCTTTTCTCTTTTCTCTTGGCTTTCTTCTTTCTTCCTATCTGTACTTCTGTATCTTCTTTGGTTTTTAGTACTATGTTTAAGCTGTTGTTTCCTTCTTCTATCGTTTGGGCTTTTGGTGTTAGTTTTCTTCAATCATCCTTCCTATTCGTATATGTTCTGTTCTATTAGTTTCTTTCTCTACTTTTATCCTCTTTTGTATCAGAATTTTGACCTGATCTATCCCAGCTTCTTTCTCTTCTATCTTTGAAGTTTCCTCTTCTTTTGAGCTCTTTTTCCTTTTCATTAACCCAGTATACTCAGAAGTTGTTATACATGATTGGCTTTAATTGCACTGCTTTTATGTCTTCTTCTGTTATGAACGTAATCAATGCTGTTCTTTTTTGGTTCCCATTTCGGTTTGGTGAGATGTATACTGATTTTGCTTCTTTACTTCACAGGCATCGCAATAATAATACTTCTGAAGCATTTCCAGATAATTCTGTTAGTTTGGCTGCATGTTTTCTTTGTTCTTCTCTTGCTTCATGATCTTCTCTTCCTCTTGTTACTCTCACCAACTTATTATTATCTGCTGGCAGTAACCATAGAATGTCTTCTTCTCTTATGTTTTGTGTCTGTATTATTACTAAGGCTTTGTACTTGAACCTTTTGATGCATACTATCTGTATATCTTTAATTCTTCTGCAGATATATTCTACTTCTTTTTTGTTTATATCAGCTAGTAGGTTCCATATTGTTAGATAAGTTACATTGTTACTGGGTCTCTCTTCTTTCTCATATTCATCATTGTATGGTTCTTCTTTGTTAATGTCTGCTTTGACTTTCTTTTTTCTAAAGCCTAGTGCATGTTTCTTTTTATCTTGATGTCTTTTCTTATAATCTTTGTGTTCTTCTTTTTTTTCTTTTTTCTCTTTATCTTTTTCTGGTATCATTTTGTACCAGTCACTCTTCTTCCTATTGATTCTCTGTATTGCTTCATCTCTGCCATAATTGCAGTCAAAAACCACTTCTATTCACAAATTTCCTCTCTTGAATACTTCATTGATGTCTTTTACATGTGTGTTGTTTTTAGAGACCATCTAATAAACTTTATTTGTTCTTCTTTTGTTTCTCTAGGCACCTTATATGCTGGTATATTGGCGATTAAGCTATTGTTTCGATCACAATTTCTTCTGCTTGATGCCTATATACTTTGTTCTAGCGCTATTTCTACAATATCAATTTCTTTCTCTACTTCTTGCTTCCTTCTTTTTTGTCTTTCTTTTTTCTCTTCTAGTGTGTTTTGTCTTGATTGTTTGTCATTCATTTCTATATCTTCTTGTTCATTCATTCTTTCTTGTTCTTTGACTTCTTGTTTCTGAGCAGAAGATCTTAATATAACTTTATTGTTAGCTTCTGTACTTACCTTTGTCACTTTTTCCTTTTGTACTTACCTCTGTCGCTTTTTCCTTTTGTATTATGTTAATTTCTTCTTGTTGTCTTTTTGTATTCTCAAGTTTTTCCTCTATAGATCTCTTTGTTTCTTGTTTCTGTTTGATGCTTTCTTCTTGATTTATTTTTTTTATTTCTCATTGCTTTTGATTGTGATTATGTTGTGTTTGTTTTTTTTCTGCATCTCGACTTTTTATAGTTATATCTAGCTTCTTTTCAGGTTGTTCTTCTTCAGCTCTCTTCAGTATTTCTCTTGTTAATCGTAAAAGGGCTACCTCATATGGGTCTTGCTCTGTTAGCAATGCTACAATTTTGTCTTCTCTATCTGGTATTGCATAAGTTTTGCTTGCCTCATTAAAGAAAACTTTGTTATGCACACTACTCATTGCCCAGTATGCTCTTCTTATGAAAATAATTTGCAGGCTCTCTCTATACTTTTGTGATATGTTTTTGTCCATTTTGTGGCTTATCTCCTTAGAATGTTCTGTCACGTGTTTTGCTATATTCTATTTACTTGTTGTTTTACTGATGTTTTGTCTATACTAATTGTTTAACTATTTTGCATGTGTCTGTTTTGCCTAATCTGTTACATGTTGCTTGTATAATGTAAACAGATCAACATATAGGGTCGATAGCAATCTTCACAATTTCCGTATTACTTGCTAAATTTTCCAAAGAAACTTGAGTTTTCCTCTACTGTTGTCTTGCTAGTGCCTGCTGTATTTCCTAGTACTAAGCTTGTTTAAAGCTCTTCTTATTGCTGTTTCTTTTCTTTAATGCTGTTTGTAACCTTTCTTATTGCTGGTTATGCAAAAAATCTATTTTCTTTTCCATCAATTTTGTGTCCAAGTGATCATCAGAGAGAGTTTAGATTATATATTTTATAACTTTTTTATTCAATAATGACTTTGTTGTTTTTAATATATGTAAAGCAAGAGGTTCATTGCTTTAGCTCTAAGTTTTTTATATTATTAAAAATAACAATCTATTGGTCTGTCATATATGAAAAGTCTTTAATAAATAATAGTTTAATTAAGACTATTTTTTCAAAATTTTTAAATGCTTCTTTGATTAGTATAAAAACTTGTTTATTAGTATCAAAAAGACTATTTCTTATTTTAACTAAAAAAAAGAACTTGTATGCATTTGTAAAAATATATCTATAATAGATTTTATTAAAAATTTTAACTCTTTTAATAGCATAATGTGCTAGTTAATTTTGGTTTAAGAATATAATTTTGAGATAATATTTTAGACCTTTTTTAAATTGCTGTTTGGTTGTAACTAGTTCTTTATATAATAAGACTATAATTTTATTAAAAAAGCTATAAAAATTGGAGATTTTAATAATTAGTATATTGTTGTTTTTGAATCAACTTAATTTTTAGATAAGAAAGCAACAAAGATTAATTTTTATCTTTTTAATTTAGTTACTAAATTTGTATCTTGTTTGGTTACTGATATATAACTTTAAATAAATTTGCTCATAGATTAGATTTTTATAGTAACATATGTTTTAGTTATTATATCTAATATATAACTGTTTTTATTATTGTTTTCTTTTTCATTATTTGTATTATTTTATGTTTAAATATGTTTTCTAAAACCTAGTTCTTATTATTTTTAAACTACTACTACTAGTACTAACTCTTTATCTTTTGCTGATTTTATCTTTTTATAAGCTACTAAAATATATTTAAAAACTGTAATATTCATTTTTTAGTAAAAAAATTATTTGTTTTTTCTTTTCTTTTAATATTAAGTTTTTGTATTTTGAAATTTTTTTTTGTTAACAATAACTTTACTCTTTAAAAAAGCTTTCTTTTTTTTAAAACAAAAGTTTTGACTCTTGTTAGTATTTTATTTGATAAATTTAGTTTCTATTTAATAGATTTATAATTATTATATTTATTTGTCTTTTCCAATCTGATGTAAACAAAAAAGAGTTTTTTTTTACTATTGCTTATAAGTTTTTTTTATTTATTAAAGATCATACTTTATAGCAGTTATTTTATTTAATATATTATAATTAGTATATAATTATTTTTACAAAAATAAAAGTACAACTAGTTATATATATAACTTTTAGTTTCCTATTTAAGTAGTTCACTTTAGAATTCTACATACTTATAATTTATTAGAAGATTATTTATTTAAAGCCTCTAATTATCTGCTCTATTAATCATCTAATTGCTACTATACTCTTTATATATACTTAAACAGTATACTATTTAAGCAGTATAGTACTTTTTTTTTGTAGTAGTTTTTAAATCATTATATATTTTAGAGTATAATATCTGTTAGTAAGGCTTAGAAGTCCTTTCTTATTAAATATCTACTTACTTTATAAACTATTAACAAGAGCTTGCTCTTGTAAAGTTTATTTGTATTAAAGTATCTACTTCATAATATATTCTTAGTACTTTAGTATATCTCTGCTTGTCTTTAAACTTTCAATCTAGATAGCTCAAAAAGACTATAACTTGTCTCTAATATATTATGTCTAATCTAATATTTTTTTTTATTAGTACCTCTTACTTAGATATTTTTGTTTATTTGATTTCTTTATATTGGTATCTGTTTACTCAGTTTAGCTTTTACAGTAGTATTGTTAAAGATCTGTATTATCTTTTTACTTTAATCTTTTTAAATGAGTTTTAGTTTTTTTTAGTTTTATGAATTTACACAACTATAGAAACTTATTTTAGATTTCATTATCTGGTACTGATTTGCATCTCTTTGTATAACAAAGGTTATATAGATGCCTTATAATCTGCTACTCATACTGGTATAATTATAGTTACAAATATCTTATTCTAACTAATTAATGGATATCCATTTGGCCATTGTACTAAATTTAGTACAATATAAAAAAATAATTTTAAAATAACTACAATTTTAATCTTAATCAAACTTTACTAAAAGATATATCAAATATAACTTTATTTATATATAAAATTTTAGCACTAATTGCAAATACCAATTTTGTAAAAAATAATTGCAAATCATCAACATTACATAAAAATTATGCTATACTAAATTTAGTACAGCAAAAAAAAAATAATAACTTCAAAAATAATATAATAAACCATTATAAAAAAAAAATTATAAATTGTCCAAAATCGGTCTTTTGTTTTGATATATTTAGGTCATTAAAAGATGATTGCTACAGCAACTAATACATACCCTCTTTGTATCATTACACATACAGTGATATCTTGTTCTTATACTACAATATATGCAACGAAGCTGCAGGTAAGTTGTAATATTTCAAATCTTTTTTTTTTTGGAAGAGGTAATAATTTGTGCTATAGTTCAGTTGGAACTTTTCACTTTGTATTTGGTGATGGATTCCTTAAATTAAGCTAATCTTTATTAAGAATTTCAAATGGCAATTGTCATCTAAAATTAAAATGCGAAGTATCATATGCTCCTTCACACCATTTTTTAAATAATAAAAATGCATTGGCTTTAGCAACTCCAAGTAAAAAGGCCAATACATGTATCTGCCAATCTGATTCATGCATTATATCATGAAAAGAAGTTATATTATTACGCACTGAATAATTAAATAAAGTTATAATAAGATTATATAATAATTATATCATAATTTATTATTAATATTAGTGTTTTAAAAATAACAACCTGGTTATTAATATCGACTGCACCTTTTGAAGAAGAGTATTCAGAAAAGATTTTAGGCCATGTAAATTTAATCAATGATAAATTATTATGATCCTTGACTATACATTCAACTTCATCACCTTGTGTTGTAGTTGATGCTATTGCAATAATGCACTGTAGTTTTCTATCTTTTAAAGAAGCCACAATTAAATATACACCATTAACAATTGCAACTTTTGAAAAATACAATTCATATGTATTTTCAAGTTTTTGAATCATATCATAAAGATAATTAAGAGGCTAGCTATATTTTTTTTTAATATGAAAGATATCATATAATCTGTTTTACATTAAAAGCAAGCAAAGCTTTGATGACCCAAACCAACTATCACCAACTATAGTATGCCTACTTCAAAAATATAGCTGTGCTAATCGAAGTACATAGGCAGCAGTACTACCATATTCTGATACAAACTGCTTTTTTTAATTTCCTTTTCCTCACAGGGTTCTAGCTGAATGATAATATTTGTAGAACTATCAGCAATTACTTTCCACTCTTGTCCGATTGGCTGTGGTTTTTATGGTATTTTGTGATAACCAGGAATTTTATTTTTTTCATCTAACTATAAATTCATGGATTCGTCAACACATAAAGTATTTCCAGGCTTTATAGCTTCAACTAGGTTGTTATTAAAATTGTTAATAAAACTGCAAACAGAATATAAAGGATTATTAAAATCCAGAGTTTCTAATTCACTTGGCATTATTAAAGTATGATATAACACTATTTGTTTAAATCGTAAACACTTATCCAATGTTGAAAATTGAATAATGGTATAGGCTGTGTCTGTTCTTGATTTGTTCTCCAATAAAAATGACAATTAGCAACTGGAAAAACAAACATTAACACCCATAAGCCTAACTATTTCATATATTCATTAATAGTTATATTTGTCCAATTTGAAGTAACTCTTCTACATTTATTAATAGAATTAATTACAAATGGTTCAATATAATCTAGTAGAAGATATCAGCAAAATAATTCATATGGTGAAGTTAAACTTATTGATGGAATATTAATTTTGCAATCTTGGTTGTATACAAGATGAATTATATATTGGTCAATAGTTATTTGTTGCTTATGCCAGTTTATTGTAATACTAAAGTTAATTACATCTATGTTATTTCTATCATTGTTTTCTTCTAAGTAATTTTTACTATCATCACTACTATAAGAAATATATTTGTAAGCTGGTGAAGCCAATGACAATTCTGTAACTAATTCTTCTCTATTTGGAGTAGCTTGTTTTTCATATTTTAGATTATCTGCAAGAACATCTACAGTAATATTTCCAATTTCTTCAAAACGAACTTGATATTTTCGACATCTTTCTGCAGTTAGCTCTTCAACAATTGTGCTATAAAGATGTAAGTTTTTCAAATTTCTTTTATGTTTTTGTAAATTTTGTTCAATTATTTCCTTTGGTAATACCGATGCTCTATAGCTAACTTACCTGCCAACAATTAACTTGCATGATATTCTTGCCATTGTGTATAATAACAAATGATCAAATGCTTAACTATTTAAAATTTTAACTACTTTTTGTGTTACAACTTATACTTTTTTAGACCCATATCTATGAATGTATGAATATATCTATGATACACATTTTTTATTTCGTAAATATTCCAATTAAATTATTACTTTTAGTCTAAATATGGATATTAGACTATCAAACTATACATACTTTAACTGGGTTATAACTTGTTAGAACAAGTTTATATAAGCAGGAATTATTTAGAAAGTGTTATCAAGATTTGATCTGCAATGCTAATCAAACCCTGATAATTCTTCCTGGAAAAAACCTGCTTGTGCCTAATTGCTAAAAGTATACTGATGATTTTAAATTATCAAAATGAGTTTTATATATTTATCTTTATATCACATAAATTTTATATAATAGTTTGCAATATTTTTTATTTTATTTGAGTTTTAAATCTGTACTAAATTTAGTACAGCAAATGGATACTCATTAACAAAATGCTATTACTATAATATGTCTATATATTATATAGATAATTATTCAAATTTTTGTTATCAATAAGTTTTGAATTTACAATATACTACTTAAAAGATTAACAACTTATCTACTTTACTAAGTTGTTATATTTCTTAATTATTGCTTATAAGTTAAAAATAGATAAATTTAAAAAAAATTTTAATTAAAAAAATTATTTATAACTTTTTAACAAACTTTTTAAATATTAATTTTAAGCTTGTAGTTTTTAATACAATATTTTAGAAAGATAATAATTTTAGAATACTAATTGAATTGTTATTTTCTAAGTAGCAAATCTAAGATTCAAATCTTATTTATGACAAAATTTTTTTTTTTTTTGGTGTTAAGATAATCTTTTTGGTCTTTTAACTTTTATTAATCACTTATTGATATTGTAGTTTAATGAACTACTACAGAAAAGCATACAATTAGCTACATATGTAACTTTTCTATATTACCTATTTAAGAAGTCTGCCTAGAGGTTTTTTACTAATTGTTGTATCTAACATCTCTGCTTAGGTGTTCCACTTTAAACCCTTTGAACCTGTAATCTGTATTAACTCACTAGGTTATACCCAAATGCTCAGATTATTATCTCAACCTTAGGACTAATTTATTTTTAAGATAAACTTCTTAAAGCCTTCTGTACCTATTTTTATAGCTAATTTAGATATCACTATGGCAGAACTAACACTTGCAATTAAGACTTAATCATTAAACCACTATGCCCTTGTAGAGTTTACTTAAACTCCTGTATCTACTTCATAGCATAACTCTAGTACTTTAGTATATCTCTGAATTTCATTAGACTTCCAATCTTAATGGCTCATATAAAACTATGACCAGTTTATCAGTATATTATATCAGCCCAATATCTTTTTTCTTTGGTTTATTCTAGTGATCTGATTGGTGGTATCTTCAAAACTTTCAACCCAGAGGTTCTTGCCTATTTAGTTACTAAGACCTGAGTATTTATTTTCTCAAACTAGCCTTTATAGTAGCACTGTCAAAGATCTGACTACTTCTCTACTCAGGTCTTTTCAAATGGACTTCTTGTTATCTAATTTCAATAGATTTACATAATCACAAGAACTTATCTAATGTTTGTACTATCTGATTGCTAGTTTGCATTCTTTTATATAACTACAAATCTTGTTTTAAAAGACAATGTTATATAACTTTACACAAATGCTTTATGATCTGCTAGTCATGCTAATATAACCACTATTATGATATTCTAATCTAATTATTAGTAACTGTTGCTATAATATAAATATTACATAGGTAATTATTCAAATTTTTACTGTTGATAGGATTTGAATATCCAACCTACTACTTGAAAGGTTGACAACTTGACTATTTCACTAGGTCTCAAACTCCATTTATAACAAAATTTAAAAATTAATTTGCACAAGTTAAAATATAAAATTTTAATATAATTTTAGCAAGCTATTAGTAAAATATCAAATATTTTTTTAGCTAATAGCTACCAAATACTTGGCATATATTACCTACTTATCAGATAGATATTGCTTTTGATAGGCCTATTAGATATCTGATACTTCTATTATAAAATATTAAATATCTGATATTTTGTTAATAGAAATATTAGATATCTAATAGGCCTATTAGAAGCAATATCTATCTGATAAGTAGATGATATATGCCAAATATCTGATAGTTATTAGCTAAAAAAATATTTAATATTCTACTGATAGCTTACCAAAATTATATTGAAATTTTAAATTTTAACCTATATTGTATTATATAAACTGTCTTTTGTTAATCAGTTAGTCTTATATAACTATAATTTAGATATACCAAGTCAGATTTTATTTATTATTGGAAGCTTAGACCATCTATACAAAGTGTAAAATTATATATATAAAGAGAAATATTAATAAGCAATATTGCATAAGACTTTAGTACAAATCTATAATAAGACTATTAAATGCAGAAGATTAAGAAATTGAAAAGATAAAATTCTACTTGGAAATTTTTAAATAAAAAAATTGTACAAACTTTCAATGATGCTGTTAAACTGATGAAAACTTATAAAAGATTTTTATAAGAATAAATAAATAAATTAAATAACAAGATGTATAGAAAAGCATATAACCAACCAGACTGCTAAAACTATTAAAAGAAAATGATACTAAGGCATATCATATCAAGCTATTTGAATTAAAAATCTAAAAAGTCCTGTTAGTTCTAAGTTGTGATTAGCAAAAGATAATAATAAAGATATTAAGAAAATAGATATTGAGTTTAGATAAACTTTACAAAAGTAGAAATAGTATAACATAATAATTTAAAATTAGCTCTGATTGCAAGTATTAGATAACTATAACAAGTTATATAAAACTAAATTAGTTGTGTATAGAATACAGAAAGCTTTAGTAACAATGCTTCTAAAAATATACTGTATTAAATAAGATATAAGTTCTAAGAATACAAATAAGCATCTAAACCTTCTTAACTAATATGTATATTGAAGATCAGTGTTGTCACATCTACTATGTCCAAGATTTTTTTTGACCATGTCTAATGTCCAAACGTCCAAACATCCAAGAATGTCCACAACATATACAAGCTTTAAAAATTAATATATTAATTTAAAAAATATATGATTATTATTTTTTATAATGCTAAATATTTTTATTTAAAAAGTTAAAATAGGTTAACCTAATAAAATTTTGAGCAGGGTGTGGCGACCTAGTGAAGTGGTCAGGTTGTCAACCCTCCAAGTGGTAGGTTGGGTGTTCAAATCCCATTGA